TTGGAAAACTATAGGACATTGAAAAAGAGAGAGAGAGAATATACTGTGGAAAAATAAACAAATGGAAGAATATACTGTGTTCATGGATTAGTAGAATCAACATCATTAAAATATCCACATTACTCAAAGCCATTTATAGATTCAATGCAAGCCACAATACAATACCAATGGCATATTTCACAGACCTAGAACAAATGCTCCAAATATTCATATGGAATAAAAAAAGACCTTGAATAGCCACAGCAATCCTGAGAAAGAAGAAGAAAGTTGAAGGGATCACAATACCAGATATTAAGCTGTATTACAAAGCCACTGTTCTCAAAACTGCCTGGTACTGGCACAAGAACAGTCATATAGACCAATGGAACAGAACAGAGAACCCAGAAATTGACCCAAGCCATTATGCTCAGTTAATATTTGACAGAGAAAGCAAGAGCATACAATAGAGTCAAGACAGTCTCTTCAATAAATGGTGTTGGGAAAATTGGACAGATACATGTAAAAAAAATGAAACTAGACCACTAATTTACACCATACACAAAAATAAACTCAAAATGGATAAAGGAGAACCAAGATGGCGGCGTACTGTACGGACCTGTGTGTGCTGCCTCCCACAACAGCATCAAAACTACCAACTATAAGACAAACAGCTGTCATTCAGAACCATGGGAAGGCTGGCCCAGTGGAAGCTCTACAACTGGAAGGAAAGAAAGAAGAGCATTGAGACTGAGTAGGATATGCAGAGGCTCCGTGAACAGAGGTATGGAGTCATGCGCCAGGCGGGCTGCAACTGGATGCGTGGTTTTTTTCAATCGGAAGGGATTACAGACTCTCGAATCCACTGAGCTTGTTTGGGGTGGGACTCTGAGGTCCCAGACCCCTATGTGGAGAGGCTGGACGGCCTTGCAGTGGGTCGGAAAGCGAGGGAGGCTTTCTCGCGGAACTGCTCACGGGCACTCAGGGACGCAGAGATGCGGAGGGAGTCGCGGAGAGGCGAGGAGTCGCGGAGACGCCATTGCCCTTCGCTCCGCCCTGGTGACTCCCAGAGACCCTGCCCTACTCAATTTACATTCCCGCCCAAGCTGTGCCAGTGGCACAATAGGAACCACCTGCGCTTTTGCAGCCCAACCCAGCAAATTGCAGATTTCAACTCCTTGCATACATAAGGGACACACTCAAGAAGCAGAATCAGGTTCAGAGGAAGTCGGAGCTGGACCCGGCTGGGCCGGCGACCTGGAACCGCTATACCAGCAAACGCACAGGCAGGTCCACCAGATCCAGTCTCACATGGGACGCTGGGAGACAGCAGACAAACAGTCTGTGCACTTAGTAGAAAATGAAATCCAGGCAAGCACACCAGGTATTCAGCCACCAAGAATGCCTGGAGATTTTGTCCAGCAAGGAGCCACCCAACAAAAGAATGCCAAACTTCATGTTGCTGAGATGGCCCCCATGAGGCTGAGCTGGCCCCTGTGAGGCTGAGCTGGCCCCGTGAGGCTGAGCTGGCCCCCATGAGGCTGAGCCAGCCCCTGTGAGGTTGAAACGGCCCCGGTGAGGTTGAGACGGACCCTGTGAGGTTGGGATGGCCCTGGTGAGGTTGAAACGGCCCCAGTGTGGTTGAGATGGCCCCAGTGAGGTTGAAACGGCCCCAGTAAGGTTGGGATGGCCTGGTGAGGTGGAGACGGCCCCTGTGAGGCTGTGATGGCCCCTGTGAGGCTGTGACGGCCCCTGTGAGGCTGGGACGGCCCCGGTGAGGTTGAGACGGCGCCTGTGAGGCTGGGACGGCCCCTGAGAGGCTGGGACGGCCCCTGTGAGGTTGAAACGGCCCCTAATACCATAGCTCACTCATTTATGGATAATAAAGACCATTATAAACTGATGAACAAAAATAGATACAAAGGCAGAGTATCATTGAACAGAAGACCAAACTACAGTGGGAAGCCTGGGGAGGGTTGCGGGGGGGGTAAGAGATCAACCGAAGGACTTGTATGC